CCAACACTCGGCATGACGGCCGTTTATGGAAAGTGTGCCTTTTTGGAGCTGCAGCCCTGCAGATCCAAAGTTGGAAGCTGCCTCAACCACACCTGCGACTTTCCGCCTCAACTGCCAAACACGATTCAGCCAAGCTCGTCAGCGACACCTACCTCCGTTCATTGCCTTCGTCATCACCGTCGTCAGCATTCCTACCCAAATCGACCTTCATCCACGTTGATCCGCAGTGAGAGCGGAGGTGCGTGTGCCAATCACCCTCATTATGGCCACCAACATGCTTCTCTCCCCCGAGGCGCTCCACTGCCTCAAGCGCAAGCAGCTCACCAACCTCTGTCGACGATTCGGCATCAAGGCGGTCGGTAAAAATGCCGATCTCATCCAAAGACTGCAGGAGTACGCTGCGTCCAACATTCCGTCCGACAGCCCGACAAAAGGCAATGTTGCTGTCCTCAGGCATATCAAGCGCCCCAGGCAGAGCGACGCCAGCTCCGACTCGGACAGCGACAATCAGCACCGCGAACACAAGCCGACCGTGGTCTACCCTCCTCTCACGCCTCGGACCAGACAGAAACGTGTCTCGGACATCGTTCAGGCTATCGAGGAGGTCAAGGCTCAGCCAGACGAGATGGACTCGGACGACGAGCTCGACGAGGCAGAAGTCAAATCGCCCTCGTGCAGGAACACCATCGCATTCCCAGTCAAGCAGGAGCAGGCGCCACTGTCGCCCCAGTCTACTCAGCCGCTGCGCATCATCAAGGCGCTGCCCAGCTCCACCCGCCTCGCCTCTCCTCTGTCCACCGCCACCATTCTCGAGCTCAGCCGCACACCCGCGGCACACGAAGCGTCCGACGCTGCAACCGCAAGCATGTATCCGGATATCAGCACGCTTCCGCTACCGGAGGGTGTCTCGAGCGACTGTCTCGCGAGCTCCTCCACTCTGCCTTCCATCACGTCGCGCCAATTCTCGGCCGCAGCAGCATCGGTGCTGGCCGAAATGAATGCGCGCCTTACCGCTGCTGGTCGTTTCACCACATCAGCCTCCCTGTCTACTATGTCGAGCATGGGAAACGGTGCCTGGCAGACCCTCGCATCCTCGACATCCACGCAGGACATGTCCAAGAGCCGATCGGGTCGCTACGAGATTCAGCACGAGCGCCAGTTCAAAAAGATGGACTCGATCGTCAACCACTACGCCGCCCGCCGCGTCGGTGCTTCAGACAAGTCCGACGCCACAAGTTCGACATGCTCCAGCTCCGATACATCCAGTAGTGCCGCGGCGGTGACCAAGAGTCTCGCGGTGGCGCGAAAGCCTCAGCGCGTCGATGCGTCCACGTCAACGCGAAGCCTTGCCGCCATGGTGCACTCTACCAGCACGCGCAAACTTGTCAGCCAGCGCCGACCACTTCCAGTGCCACCGGTGCCAAAAGCACGCTCCAATCCGCCTGCAGCAGCCGCGATCCGGTCAGCCAATCCACCGAGCTCTCGACAAGCATCCGGCAGCGAGGCTCCGAGAACGAAGCGACTGCGGCTAGCCGTGACGGAAGACCAGGGAGCGCTGCAGAATACCGTGCTCGAGATCCCGCCCGAGAAAAAGACGGTCATGATCCGCGTCACCCGCCCCGAACGCGAGGGCATGCCGTACCAAGTCAGCGTGGCTCCGTCCACGTCAGAGGCCAAGAAGCTGGGCGAAGCGAGCGGACCCGTGCGCGCCGCATCGGTACTGCGCAAGAGCGTCATCAAGGCGACCAAGAGCACCTTCACCGGCGGCTCAGCCAAGAAGGCAACCGCCTCGGCACAGGCGCAGAAGCGAGAGGCGGCGTTCGCAAAGCAACAGCAACATGCGGCTGCCATGTCGAGAAGTATGAGCTCCCGCGCCAACCTCGCGCCCACCGTCAGCCGCAGCGAGACGCTACAGGCATCCACGAGCGTCAGAAACAAGTTTACGGGCGCACTCACCGCTCCACCCACGGTCACTCGAACCCCTGTTGCGGCGGCTCTGGCGGGCTCCGGTGCGTCGGTCGTGCCATCCGAAGCGAGCAAGGGGAGTGTCAGTCGGCTGGGCGGAAGCATCCGCAGCAGTGTCTCGCAGGGGCTCGGACGAGCCGATGCGGCACGCCAGGCCCGGCTCAAGGAGATCAAGGCGCGCACCAAAGCTGCACTGGCTGGCTTTGGCAGTACGCGCACCGTCGACGCGGCTGCACCCGAATCGCCGCGCAAAGGAGCCACCTTCTCACCGAGCGTCACGCGGCCGACAATCGCGAGCCTCAATCGCGCCGTCACTACCACAGGCGGATCAGCTTCTCTGCCCATGCTCTCGGCCATTACTGCGCCGCTATGCGGACTGAACTCCAACATGGTGGAAGGCTTGCAGCGCGCCGCGACCATGCATGCGGGCGTAGCAGCACTGATGCCCTCCTTGACGCCTCGCTCGTCCTCGCTGCGTCACCTCCGCCGTGTAATGCGCAAGCAGCAGAAGCAAGCCGAGGCGGACCACGAACGCGTGGCAGCGGCAGAAAACATCTCGCCGGGCAAGGTGGTGCCTTCGGTCATCAAACCCCCGACCAGCGAACTGCAGTACGCACCTTCCATCCGCACCGTGGCCAAGGTGCAGCCAAGTCCGGACAAGTATACCACACTGCCGCTCCAGGGTCGGACGGCAGCAAGACCAGCTGGCGCGCGCTCGGCCCTCGTCACCTCGCGTGCAACCACGTCCGCCCTCAACCGCATCTAGACGCACAATTCGACTTCACCTCCGCCGTGGTTTCACGACTGCGGCCCCTTTTTGACACTTCGTGACTCGTCAGCAATGCAGATACCCCAGCTTCACGCTCAAAAACCAACATCTTGGCACAGACATGCAATGTATGGTACGATCGAGCGTGTATTAGCGTCGAAGACTGCGAACGAAAACAGATGGAGCAAAGACATTGTCCAGAACAGTGCATTGGATTGAGGTCGAAAGATTTTTTGGGTTTCACGGTGGGGAAGGGGGTGGGGCTCAACTGTGATGAAGACGCAGGAGCTGCGCACACGACTCCCAGTGTCAAACCGTTTTTAAACGAGCATGACGACGGCGGACAGGACACCTGCAGCCGCAAGCGATCCAACCACGACCAAGCTGGACTGGAGCGACGATGCGTCCGACTTGGACGACTGCTGCGACTGCTTGGTTCCGGTGTTGGACGACGACGAAGACGAGGAGCCTGACCCAGAACCGGCAGTGGAGCCAGACGAGGAGCCAGACGAGGAGCCCGTGGCCGAGGCAGCGGCCGAGCTGCCACTCGCGGTCGCGGACACGGCCAGCTGCGGGTTGTAGTGGTTGTCGGCCGCCTTGATCGAGGAGCCCGAGGGCAGACCGGTGGCGTTGATGTTGCCCGCCACATACTGGGCAAAGTCGGGGTAGGTGATGTCCTCGGGGTAAGGCTTGGTCTGGTTCTTGCAAGCGGTGAGCGGTACAATGTGCTTGAAGACGGCCTGGATGTTGGCGTACTGCTTCATGAACTCGTCCATGGTGTGGCCGTTGATCTCGTGCGTGAGCACAATGTTGCCCTGACCCGCCGTGGGGCCCTGGGTCTCCTTGGCGATGATGGAGGCGTAGTTGGCATCGATCGAGGCGGTGGGGAGCGTGCCGAGCGGCAGGATCTTCCAGTCGTCCGTGTCGTCGGTCCACAGCACGGTCTCGAGGCCGAGGCCCTTTGCGATGGCACGCACGCGGTCGTCAACATCGCCGAAGGGAGGACGCCAGCAGGTCGGGGTGACGCCGACGACGTCCTTGATGACCTTGGCGGTGTAGTAGAGCTCGGCGAAGACCTGGTCGCTGGGGAAGGCGGTCATGTACTGGTGGCTCCACGTGTGCACGCAGATGTGGTGGCCGTCGACGATACCGCGCTGCGCCTCGAGCGGCCAGTCGAGAACGTTGGAACCAATGTAGAACATGGTGGCCTTCTGCTTGTTCTTCTGCAGGAAGTCGTAGAAGGCGTTGTGCGTGCAGTTGGGGCCGTCGTCAAACGTGAGACCCCAGGTGTTGGGCTCGGGGCACTGCACCAGGTCGGCGGGGATGTTGGGGTGCTTGGGATTGTCGCAGCCGTTGAACGTCCACCAGCAGTCCGGGTCGGAGTGAGGGTAGGTCGGGGTGAAAGAGGAAAAGTCGCCGTTGACGGTACCCTTGGGGGTGATGCCCGCAGGGATGATGCCCGAGGCCTGGATGCTGCTCCAGACCGCCTGGGCCTGCGAGTCACCGGGCAGGATGGTGGCATTCTCCCAGGGCGTGGGGAACTGGCTGGCGAGCGCGCTGATCTCGGGGAGGTTGTAGGCGGTGCACTCCTGCTTGGCGTTGGTGATGGCCGCCTGCGAAGGCTCGTCGGTGGCGCGTGCCTTGAGCGCCGCCTGGGCAGGCGAGCCGCGCTTGTAGATGAGGTTGTGGTACTCGCCGCTGTCGCGCGCTCGGCGGTAGAGGTTCTGAATGTGGTGCGGGTCGGGCACGCCACGGCCGATGCTGGCCGTCACAGATGAGGCCAGCGACACGGCGGCCACGATGGCGGTGGAGGAAAGCTTCATGATGTCGGTCTATGTCCACGTCACGAAAGGAGGGGGAGGAAAGAGGGGTGAAGAGGAGGGGATGGAGATGAAATGCAGGTGCACACGGTAGGCTTATAAGGACCAGAGAGCTCTGCCTTGCACGCTCGCTAGGGGGCAAAGATCTGCGTCGGAGAATCGTTTGGGCATGACATTCGACAGAAGCAGCGCTACAGTAGCAGTGAGGGTGAGCGGGTCTGGGAGGTGGGGACGATATGATACGACTAGGCGCCAGAGCCGTCTGCGTGGGACGAAGAGGGGCTCGAGTGCTGCTGCAAGGTGCCGCCGGCGGATGCAGCTGTGTTCGAACGCCACAAGCGGCGGCACGCGTTATGAAGCGGCGGTCTCATTGTTCCGACGACGACTGGGGAGTTCCACGGTGCATGCATTCGGCAAGGATGAAAGGGCCTTTGCGCTGCGTCGAGCTAGGAGGAAGAGCGTGCTGCGGCAGTCCCGAGCACCGAGCCCCGAGGACGAGCGTGCATGGGCAAACGACATCTGTCGAGCAGGGCGCGAGCGGCGGCGGCAGCACAAGCGAGCAGAGGCAAGGCACCCGACGGTTCGCCATCTGCACGCCAGCAAGTTTGCCAATGCAATCCTGCGTTTCGGGGCGCCGGATGCCAGTGCTGGCATGCAAGAACCGCGTGCACGACGCGTCGATCAATAGGGCTCGCCGACCCGCCTGCCAGCGAGCCAACGCGGAGCAGGCGTCGGAGCAGCTGCAAGCACCTGCGCGACACTTGCCAGCTCGGCAGAAGCTTGTTTTTTTTCTTTCCTTCTTCTGCTTCGCCACCGGCCAGCTCGGAGTCGCTCGAAAAATCAATCCGAGTCGCCGCCAGCCTGGCAACGTCGGCATCGCTGCCGGAGTCCACATCTGTGGCATGCAGATCTGCATGCCTTTCTGCAGCACTGTCGTTAACCTGACGCTAACGGAACCCAACCTATTGTCCCGGCGCACTGCGCAAGTCCTATGCCAGCCGAGTCGATTGCTAATCGGCAGAGCCGACACAATGGATCCCTTTGTCTTGTGTGGTGATGTGGTGGGCCCCCTGTCTAAGAGCGCGTCGTGGAATTCCGCGTCTGCATTCAAATCAAAGGGCTACAAATCGCCGTCGCTTTGAAGCCCACCGGCACATCCGCGCCGAACTTTGAACCCTTTGTCAAGACCAATAGCGCTACAAATTTCGACTGACCATCGCTTCCCACCTTGCCCATCCCCCCCAGCTCGGCATGTCCATCGGCGTCAACGCTAGCGCTGCCTGGACGCCCCCTGTCCCAAGCGGCAGTGCGGCAATGCGGCAATGCGGCTAGAGGATCGACGGCGTCATCGTGCTTGCCCTAACTACCAGACGGACATGCCTGACACAGGAGCCGGGACCCCGCCCCACAGTCCGGCGTAGACTCTGCGTGCCACACTTGCCGTCCAGCGGCCCCTATCGCTGTGCAGACCATGCCGAGCCGCATTGACGTGTCGCTCACCGGCAGCCGCCCAAAAGTCGCCGACGCCCGCAACAGCCGCTCAGCTATGGTGTCGGCCACACCGATCTGCGCATCGCGTACTTTGCCACCCTGCGTCGATAGGTCATCTCTCCTTGTGTCATCGGAGCACGTCGTCACAGGGCGACAGTGACATGCTGAATCGCCGAAGGGTAGAAGCTGCAAAGTGCTTGCGCTCGGAATCGGGGTGCGAGATCCATAGATGCCGATGCTACCATGGCCTTTGAAAGGCCGGCCGCTAGGCACGGCCTTCCGACGACTCTTTTGGCCTTCAAACCATCCTCGGCTTCGGCTCGAGCAACAATGGGACGGTCAATTGGACGGCCTTCGGCCCTCTCTCTCACCAGGACCGGCCGACTCCGTCTCGCTTTGCACAGCCTTCGGCCCGATCTGCCCGATCTTGGCCCGATCAAGCCTGATCCACACGAAACTCGGGGACCCCTTCCATCTCGCCCGGTAAGTCCTCCTCGTTTTCGCTTTGCCGTCAACCTGTTCTTGCAGCTTTTGGGCGCCCGTACGAAGGATGACCACCACCAGCAGCACATACACCGTGTCTGATCGAAGCACGCTGCCACCCAGCGGCGCTTGGCGTGAAAGACCATCGCGTGTACAACCGGTAATTTGCAAGCTGACCGCGGGCGTCCCTGCAGCTGCGAGCACGCAAGGCGCAACGAATCGACCTTTCCTGGTTCAAGTCGATTCATCGCTGACAGCTGTGCTCTTCTCCTTCGCTGAGGTATGGAGACTCACATTTCAGGCAGATCGCAATGCTGCTTTCGATGCTGAACAAGGACAAACGGGCAGAAACTGGTATTGCGGTTTGGGTTCGCCTTGCGAAAGCGAGATGAGGACACAGCACGAGACATGCGATGGCCGCATTGGGAGCTACGGAGCTACGACGAGCACGACGGAAAGCTGGAGACCTTGGGACCATAAACGATATTGTTTTCGAGTTATTTTCTTCCACATACGATCGAGATGTTGTGCCTGAGCTGGACTAGAGACGACGTTCTTCTTCGATTGGAAGCGAGGTGCTTAGCAGCAGTCGCAGTTCTTGCAGTTCTTGGAGCACGTGCACTTCTGGCCGGCAGCTTCGCACTTGCAGTTCTTCGTGGAGCGGCAAGCGCACGAGTCGGTGCAGCCGTTGCAGGTGCAGGTGCCAGGCTGGCAAGTGCACGCACCGTTGCCACCAGCAGTGTTCTGACAAGAGCAGGCCATGTTGTTGATTGGTAGAAAGAAGATGGAGTGAGGACTGAAAGTGGATGGGATGTGGTGATGGAGGATGAGGTCAAGGCAGGTCGTGGGGGTTAATATACTTTCAGCGCGCGCGGGCGGATGGGTGCAGGGGCCAGCAGCCCACGAGAGATGTGGAGAGAAAAGCCCAACACTCATACTCCCGAACCCAACTCAGCCATCAGGGAACCGCCATCGAATCACAGCCATCGAATCACAGCGCTAGCGAGCCCTGGCGAAAATCGCGCACACCCCTTCAGACTTGGGCGACTTGGGCTTGTCACCTGTGTCGAGTCAAGGCTAGCGATGTCGTGTGCCGGCTTTTCCCCTTTGAAGCCCAACGCGTCCAACGCAGCCAGGCCTGAGGGCAAAGGGGATTTCAAAAAATGCGCGATTTTCGCCCATCCTGTCGTCCGTGACCCGAACCCCAGCCTCAACCCTTTCACCCAACCGGCCCTCACCGAGGCCCACATCGCTAATCGGCTCCGCCCGTGGCGCCAACTCGCCTCGCCCAACCGAGCCCCAATCAAGCTCATGCCCCGCCCACCCTCATCGCCCCTAAGATCACAGATGCACTTGATCGTATCACAACGCACGTGCCTCCCTCAGCACACACGTTTGCGAGCCGATGGATAACGTCCCTTTTCGAGATCCCACTCGCCTACATCATGCAGTGCCAAGAAACAAACCCAGTTTATCTCCTGCGCGATTGACTCGTCCTCGCTGCATCCAGCATGGCGCTCGAGCCAGGTGCACTCGGCAGGTTGATGTGGCCGTTCGGGAGCGTGCCTGTGCTTGCCGAGCTCGGCAGGCCGTAACCCGAAGACCCCTCATCGATCGTACCGAACGACGAGCTGGACGAAGAGCTGCTCGAGGACGTGAGCCCCTGGCTCGATGCCGACGGCGTCATTTGGCCCATCGACATCTTGCGCGATCGGTCCGCGCCTTGCTGACCGCTCCACACGTCGCCGCTGCGGCCCATCGCACCGATACCGCCGACAGACATGCTCCTGCCCTGCGGGTGCATTTCGTGCACAGCGCGTTCCGGACCTTCCCGACCATCGCTGGCGCCCTGCTGCGAGATGTTGCCATAGCCATGGCCAGGGCCCGTGGGTGAAGCGCGCCCCGTATTATTGCGCATGCCCAGCCAAGCTCGCTCCTTCTCCGCTTCCGAGCGATACGGTCGGCTGGGGCTGGAGCTTCGCTTCGCCTCTGCCGAAGCAGTGCCCGCCGTCGGAACCGCGTCCGGTAAGCCACCAGTCTTTCGCAAAGCCTGCAGATGCGGCGAGCCAGCTGTCTCCGCCTCGGCACCCTGCCACAGCGGCTCGGACGACCCGAACTGCGAGCCAAGACCCAGGTAGTCGGTCGCAGCCGACTGAGCCTGGTCTTGATAGCCCGAATTCTCGCCAGTTCGCGAATCAGGCACCAGCCGATACGGCGTATTGGCCTGGAGCGCCTTGGCGTCGACTACCTGACCCACCACAAAGCCCGCGGGTCCACCCAGGGTCCCCGAGTGCGAACCCATGGTCTTGAGGTCATCGTCGATCTGACGGTGTTGCATCCCATATCCTGGCTGTCGCATCGGCGTTTCGGCCGATCGACCTCGATTCGCTCCGCCGGGCGCTCGGTTCGGCTTGACAAGCCCGTTGCGCTTCTGCTTGAGCGCAGATCCGTTGCCTGCCGCTCCACTGTTCTGTGACCATGTTTCCGAGCTTGAGCCGTCCTCGGAATCGGCACTGCTCGACGATGTCTCGATGCCGTCGTAGGCGCTCGAGTTGTCCACGTGGCCGGATGCGTGTGCACCAGAAGAGGCAGCGTTGTGTCCGTTGGCAGCGCCACCTCCCGCCACCGCCACGCCAGCAGCTTGATCGCCGTTCGGGTCGCCGGCCGGGTTGGCTGCGTTGCTTTGGCCCGCACCAGCCTGTTGAGGCTGAACGCCGGGTTGCCCTTGGTTGGACCGATTGATGACACTGAGATACCAGAACATGAGGTTCGAAATGAGCACCTGCTCGTACAGCGGACGACGCGGGTTGGCGAGCTTAATGTGGCTTAGGCGGTAGACGGCTCGCTCGATGTGGATCGGATAGCGCGCGTAGAAGGTTGCGCCGTTCTTGCCATACATGCCCATCTCGTTGCGCTCCAGCAAGCTGCCGGCGGTGAGCTGTCCGTTGGCAGGGCGAGGCGGAGCAGTGTGTGCAGCCTCGTCGTGGCCCTTTTTCTTGCCAAAAAGGGCGCCGAGGAAGCTGGACGAGCTGCTCTCCTCCTTTTCCTTCTCCTCGCGTTCGCGTTCCTTGCGTTCGCGCTTCTCGTGCTTCTCGCGCTTCCGTTGCGATTCCTTCTCCGCCTTGCGCTCGTCTTCATCGTCCTTGCCGAGACCGAACCAGGAGAGGCCGAATGCGCCTTTGCGTTCCTTGTCCTTGTGCTTGGAGCTGCTCGAAGCGGGTGGAGCAGGCGCCTGTGCTTGAGCTGGCGGTCGCTGCTGGATCGTGACGATAGGCGTGATTTGCGGCTTCGAAGCTGGAGCAGCGGGGGCGGGTCGAGGCGGCATCTGAGCCACCTCGGCATCCGAAGCCGCGGCATTGGAAGCATACGAGGCGGTGCTGCCAGCCGAGGACGGTCGACTTGTCTTTGGCGGCTGCTGCTGCTGCTGCTGCTGCTG